CCGCCGCTTCCCCCATGGTCGGGCTGCGATGGGACGGGACAGGACTGGGGCCACGGGCGCTGCTCTTAAGGGCTGAGCCTTCTCCCTCCCCAGGGGAGGTTTCGGGCTGAGCCCGCCCTCGGGGCGGGCCGGGACGGCGGGCGGGCCGCCGGTGCCTCCCACCGAGGCTGCTCGGGGCGGGCCGGGACCGTGGTCGGGCACCCGGTGCTTCCTTCTTGTCCCTTTTTAAAAAGAAAACAAGCTCGCCTCCTCGGAAGCATCAGTAGATGGCAGGAGATACCGCGGAATGGGGATAGAAAGGAGCGGCTGCTGGAGTCGGGGTTAGGAAAGAGGGAGAGGGTGTTGGTGCTAGGAGAGCTTGTGGGTGCAGGTTGGAGTTAGAGGCTGCCCTTTGATCTGATGGAATTAAGCTGATAATAGAAAAAAAAATATTATAGCAATCAAGGTGACAATTATAACAATACATGACTATTAATATATGCTATAGCAGTATAAAATACTTAGGTGCAGTGGTATTGTATTACCTGGTGTAGTTATTCTTCTGTAATTGTATAATCTATATTGGTAACTATGTGTAATAATTGCAATAACAATTAACATGCTCATAATTATTTTCATATGTGGTGAATTGAATCTCCCAGCACTCCTTCCACCAAGCAGGCACCCCATGCAAAACTAGACTGTGGTGTTTATTTAAATAATCCCACTCCTACTCATTATCATTAGGGTTTTTAACAGTAATGTAGTTTATGATTATTGTAGTAGTAGTAGTTGTGTTACCAAAACAGTCTGGTGTTGCATGTGTTGCTTGCTGAGTGGAAGGAATACCAAGACATTTGATTAACCACATGCGGAGATTAACTGGGCACTCTGGTGGCCCTGATCAGATTCTCCAGCCTTTCTTTGGTAAAAAATTGCAGGGTTAGAACCACTAGGGATTATTAATCAACTGGGAGTGGTGGTGGAGGGGGCAGCATTTTCCAGCTTTTGCAGGACTCCAAAAGGACCATACCTGGCATGAAGAAATGCCAAACTGTTTATTTAGAATAATACATAACTGTCCCCAGGTCTGAGCCAAAGCTATTATTGCCAGGGAAAATATTACAAAGTTTCACAGACTTGGGTTGCTCATCGGTATGCTGATGTTCTTAAGCACAGTTTCTTTTTATTTTGTGTTCTTGACATTTGCCTGGTGACAGGACTTCTTGCTGCAACGCAGATGTTTCTAATACTTGGGTATATAGAATTCTGATACTTGGGTAGCTGAAATACAGTATTTTCTAATATCTGGGTGTATATACTTCCTCTATGATTTTCCTGCATCCTGCAGACTAAAAACATATATTTACGGTCTAAATGGCCATGATCCTCACCCTGCTTTTAACACACAGGAAAAAAAAATAATAATTTTCCCATGAAAAGGAGTAAAAATGCATGACTTAAGAATAATGCAAATGAGTTAGCCATTTCAATCACCACATGTTCAATCCTCTGAAAGTTCTGCAACGTTATCATTACTATCTGATTTTTTTTGTCCTTGCTTTTTTCCTCTGGCTGCAACTTCTATTCCTGAAGTTGAAGGAGCTTGAAAAAAGCATTTGGTGAATGAGTTCCTGTAGGAAAAAATCACCAAGTTTGCCAGAATTGTCAACAAGAAAAGTATGCTGAGACTGTGAAATATGCAGGCTCAGAGGGGAGTGGACATATTTAAAGGGAGCAACCTAAACAAAACCCTTCTGTTTCCACTGGCTCTCCCTGGCAGCACTACCTGATACGCCCTTCCGGAGACATCTGTGTTCCCAAAGGGCAGCTGCTGTCTTCCCCTCTTGGTAAAGGATCCTACCCTGCTTGCTTTCTTGCTGTCTCCCTTTTATTTGGCTGGGACCTTGAAGCCCTGTAATGAGGGGGTGTTTTTGCAGAGAGCAGCAGCTCATGTTGCTCTGGCAGGGCCTCATGTGCTGTCGGTAGGTGGGAGAGGGGCAGGAGTTCAGACGGGTGGCAGATCTTAGCAGTGGTGGTCATGCTGCTGCTGGCTCTGCCTGCACAGAGGTGGGAGCAGCCAGGCCTCGCTGCTGTGGCAGGGGAGGAGGGGAGGCCCCTGCCTCCAGCAGTACCAGCCTTGGCTTTTGTTCTCCCAGCAGCTTTCTCCCTTGCAAAGCCAGAGGAGCAGCAAACCCAAGTCTTCCTGTCTCTGCTTCAGCTCCAGTCCTTCTTCCTGGTCCCTTTTTCCCATGTGAGGAGCAACCCAGCTCTCCATGCCCGCTGCATATCTTTCCTGTGGTAAAAATCCCTCCTTCCCCCTTCCCCCCCCAAATAATAAATAATTAAGGTTTTATTTAGTTTTGATGAACTGAAGTTTTGATGGGTTTTGAGTTTTGATGGCAAAGCCCCAGCTTGGCAGTGGTCCACGCTGGGCTGCTGAACATGCTGGCTTTCCAGTCTATCTCTGGTTTGCACTTGGAGCCTGTCTCCCCAAGCCTTTCTGTCTTCAACCTACTGTACGTGGCACATTTGCACAATGGAGAAGATAGACGTGTTGTCCTTGCAGTCTAATACTCTCCTGAGTCCTGTTACAAGCCTTCTGCAAAGGTTCTGCAAGTTTTTGAGTGTTTCAAACTCCCAGACCTGTGTGCATCCTAGGGAAAAGCTGCAGCACCCCATGGTAGTGGCTCAAAAGGCACAGTATGATTTCCTGGTTATCCCTTTGCCCCAGTAAAGCAAAGCCAGGCATGGCAGGGATGTAGCTGCAGGGCTCATCAGCACCCACCATAGGGATTCTTCATGTTCCCTGTGGCTTGGGATGTTCTGTGTTGTCCCTGCCCAGCCTTGCTACTTGGGTCACTGGCCCTGAGGGATAGGAGAGGTGATGAAACCAGGAATATGATGGCCTCAAACTGGTACCTCTTCCAGCCAGCTGCTGAATTCCAGCTGGGGGTTTTGACACCAGCCGTCAGCTCTGATTACCTGTTGTGTTTGTAACAATGCTGTCAGGCTGGCTGGGCTGCCAGCACTTGCAGGATTTGGAGACTTTTTATGAAGGTTTGGGGTTATTTTAGTTTTATTGGTTAATTCAGCAGGGTAGCAGAGGAGTTTTTTTGCCAAGTTGCAATGCAAGTTTTAATGGTGAGAAAATTTCTAGAGGAAAACATTTTATGTTTATTTAGAAAGAAGGAGCGTTAAAGAGATTAAATTTATCAGGGTCATCCAATGTAAGTCGAGTTCTTTTCATGTGAAATCAATGTGTGTGAATTATACGGACAGAAATTGGAGGTTAACTCACTCATTAGTCACATGGTGTTCAGGATAATAAATGTTTGATGTTGGAGCATTACTGATAATTTATTAGGCATGGAGTAATAGGTAAAAACAATATGACAGGAAAGGATGAAGAAGGAATTTAATAGGAGAAGGAAGAATGGCAGAGACTGTACAGGTCATCCTCAGCTTATTGAATCTCATGCCCAAGGTCCCACTGACTTTAAAGGTATAGTGTGAGGCTGGCTGACTCTGTTAGCACAGGTAGGCCAGGTGCTAGCTAATGAGAAGAGCTGTTGGTAGCCTGGGAGGAGAGCCCAGTAAGGGAGGGAGGATTCCTCCAGGGGGCCGATGTCTGCCCCAGGGGTAAAAAGAGAAAACAAATATACACCAGACAGGGAGAAGTGATGCTGCATCTACTGGCACCAGAACCAGCCATGTCTGCAGCTAGTGGGCAGCTGAAGGCATGAGGCTTGGTTACTTCGTGCTGGAGAGTTTCTGTGAAGGCTGGTCTTGGGTCGCACATTTTCCTCCCGTGGGTCTGCTCCTTCTGTTGCAGCAAGGTTTGTCAGGTCATTGACGCTTCAGCCAATGTTGGTTGAAACCGACCAAAAGCTTCTGGGGAGGTGGAGGCCAGACTGGCTGACTTGTAAAATGTAGGTGGTGATGGAAGAAATCTTGCTTTATTAGGCAGCAAGGCTAAAAATACTAATGGAGTTTATCCTGGCAAAAGGCATTTCCCCCCCCAGCCATAGGCTGCTTTTTTCAGTGGCACAGGAAAGAAAACCCAGCTGGGCTCCAGACAGAGACCATCCTCCTACAGCCCCTGTCCCTGGAGTGTGCAGGAGAGCAGGGCATTCTACCCTCCCTGCAAGAGCTCTGCTGTCCCAGCAGCCATCCAGCCTGCACCCTGATGGAGGGAACCCTCAGGGCTGGGCTCCTGGCTGACAGCTCTGTGCAAACAAGAGTAACTCTCTTTGGAGAGCCAATATGTAAGAGTGGGAAATTTGGAGAGTCACTGCTGGGAGAAATTTTAATATTTGGGGAAGGAGAGAGATGAGGCTGTCTGACAGGAAATGTATCATCATAAAAGAACATGAAACTGCAATTTTGTTCTCTTGTGCAAATGGTAGCCAGCAGAACTTAATATGCAACCAAGAAATCCACTTCCACTTTATCGGCCAGCCTGT